AGAAACCTGCATTAGAACACGTGGCAAGAAGAAGCCAAGGCAAGCTCTGTATCCATTTGTGGTTGCAGGTGGTATATGAAGAGGAATGATTATGGTAATTAGCCCAGCTGGAATTTGCCCACAGCTCTGTGGGTACCTTGTAAATAGTGCAAAAATGCCAGACGATCTTAATAGGCCTTTCGTCTCGTCTCCTTTATATAGGTAGCCATTTGCACAAAACACTTTCCACCAGCACTTTGTTGCGATTGCACCTGTAACAGTAAAAACCTCCTCTTGGTATCTTGCCAGTTGAGCCCACTGCAGCATCTTGGAATTTTCAGGAAGCTCTGTATCGAGTGCTTGGTGTTATTTACGTGAGAATATGTCATGAGAGACACCAGCCAGAGCTGTGCCTTGCAGCTTTGGGATGGTGTGGGCTAAAGGCTCAGGCTCATATTTGTGAGGCTATCTCCAGGGGAGGTAGCAGGCTCACTGCTGCTGTTGGACTGGGTGGTAAAACTCTGAAGGAGCTGCCTGTGGAAGAGAGGAATAATCTTAATAGTTAACGTGGTGTATCTAGCCCTTGAGCTGGGAGGGAGAATATGGCATGGTTCGGGTGCCTGGATGTTATTTCACACAGTTCTCAGCAAGGAAGCTGTGCCTGGAAAAGCCTGGCTGCCCAAGAAACCCTGAAAATATTTGGGATGAGTGTGGTACGTGTTTTGGAGCAGAGCTGTGTGGCTCTGTGGTCTGTATCCCAACCCCTTGTCACTGAGGAGACCCCTAGACTCAGGAGAACGTCCCGCTGTGCTCCAGTCCCTTCCACTCCGGTGGAGACAGCACATTTGTTACAGGCAGTTTTGCATCTGGTCTCTTGATTAATGGACTTGTCTTTTGCAGCCTATTTTGACTCTGACACTGCGTTCTGCTCCACAGATGCTTTGCTGATGTTGAAGAAAGTTTGCCTCGCTTGATAAAGACCAGATCCTGAAATTTACTTCCAAACCTGAAGTAACAATTTTTAACTTGAAATGCTTTTTCCCCAGGAGTCGCTGCTCCAGAATCCTTCCCTTATTTGGTGCCTCCTTCACAGCTGGGACTGATGCTCAGGTGCCAAAGCTCTGTGCACTCCTTGCCGTGAGCCAAATGGGTCTGTGCTGGGTTCGAGCGTGGCAGCTCTGCTTCCCGGCCCGGACCGTGGCACTCCCTTTTCCTGCACACCCCGGTGGCATTCCCAGTGTTTCTTTGCTGGGGTGGGAGACACCGTTTTCAACCCTTTTTGGTCGGTGCACAGTCTCTTGAGGTTGGGTCTTGCGTTCTTCTTTTTTTCTGGCTCTTTTTCATGACAAACCTTTCCTGAAGCTGTCTGACTGCCCCTGTTCTGTGTGTTGTCAGGACGTACTCCTCGTGGCCTCTCGGTGATCTGAGCTGGCTGTTCCAGGACCGTTGCTATCTCTGCGCTTAGCTGCTCCGTGAGAAGTTAGTTGTTAGTCACTGTTGATTTCTTCCATGGTAACAAATCCAGTTTGGTTGGCGGTGCGGTGTGTGAATGCTCCCCAAGCAGCAGTGGGCTGCTTCCTCTGGTGAGGTTGCCTCTTCCCAGGTGGATTTAGTCTGTCTGCACATGCTGACTCATGACAGCCAAAACAGCTGTTTTCAGCTTCAGGCACTACTGTGTGCAGGGACCCCTTCTTCTTCTTGACAGCTGGTTTGTTTTTATAACTAATGCCTTCACTATATGCTCATAACTTCCATATCTGTGATGCCCACTTTTCAACTGGAAGGGCCAAAAATCTATTTTTTGACCTAGTTTTGTTGTTGTATAAGCCTTACTTGGTGGGCTCTTCCCAAGCAACCAACTGGGACCAGCCAGATTGGCTTCCCTGTCCCAAGAAGCAAATCTGTCTGCAGAGGGCAGTGATGTTAGCGTGCAGGGAGCTCTGTCTTCCCTTGGCATCCTGACATTGGTACAGGGACCATTTTCAGGAAACTTTGGAGGTGGCCACCCTTGGAGTGCACAGGGAGAGAGCTGAAGTCAAGGAGTTGTTGCAAGTCTTGTGCTAGCCCTGTCAGGGTAGTGAGCACACTGGCAGGGCTTTGGGGAAGTGTTGCTCTCCACCCTGCAAATGCAGAACAGCAGGTGACAGGGGGTTCCTCCTCCCTGCCCCAAAGCCAGTGGAAGTCACTGTTTCCCTCTCGTTGTGAGAAGCAGAGTTTGTTGGGAGGAGCAGGGAGGGCTCCCAGAGACAGGGACAGGTGAGTCACTAGAGAGAGACTCATTCAGAGAAAAGCCCAGTCAAAGCAGCCTGTGGCCTTAGCGTGAACTTGGAGATGAAAGGTCCAAAGTTAAGTGATGAGCTCATCAAAACCTCGAGGCTGTGAGAGAAAAAGATGAAAGAAGCATGAGAGGTGCCTGCTTGAGATGCCACAGTGCTGGGGCACACAGGTCTCTGCCTGGGCTTGCTGGGTTTGTGCTTAAGTTGGCAAGAGGTATGAAACACTTCGTTTGTAGAGGCAGGTATCCTGATTCCTTTTGAATAAAATCATAAATATATATATTTATTTATGCACACATCTATGTCCCAGTTCAGTACTTGTTCCTGTGGAATGTGACTGCTTAGTCCTTGGAATTGGGAGTGAAAAGGCTGAGTGTGAGACTTGCTCTGAGAAGGTGGGGGTGAAGCTGAGCCCTGGCGAGCCCTCCCAGAGCTGTGTCTCTGTGGGAGCACTCTGGGCATGTCCCTGCTGGGCGCGGGCGTCACTTTCCATTCAAGGTGGGGAGTTTTGGTACTCCCCTGCTGCCAGTAAAGTGGTGTGGCGATTGCAGGGTGAGTGCTCCCACGGCTGCACGTGAATGTAGGCCTTGGAGAAAAACTTCTGCCCCAATTTCTTCTTTCCCCCACATGCAGCCTGCTGATCGGTGTTGTGACAGGCTTTCCAGTAGAGAAGGCTCAGGCCATGAGCTCCTCCTCTTTTCCATATCATCAAAGGACACAGAGTTTGGACCCCCTCCTCCAGCTCTTGCAGGCAGCAGAAGCATGTGGGCTTGCTGTGGGGCAGAGCGCTGCCCACTGTCCCAAAGGCTCTTGCACCTGAGCTAGAGGCTCAGACTTGTTAGCCTGTGTCTGTCAGGGTATGTGGTTGCAGCCAGAGCCACGGAGCTGGTCACAGACCAGCTTTCTACCTCCACAAGCTGTTGCCTGAAAAAAAAAAAAAAAGTGTGTTTAAAGGTTTCAAGCTCTGAGTTATCTTGGTGTCCTAAGGAGGATGGCGGGGAAGCAGCTATATCCAAACTTAGCTGGCAGAGCAAAGAAGGGCTTTGCTGTGCTGTCCCAGTATTCCCCAGTCTCTTCTGGGTTTCATCTGCAGAGTTAATAAAATGGTGGCAAATAAAGTTGAGTTCCAGTGGAAAGGGCTCTTTAGGGCAGCAGTAAAATAGTGAGTAAGCAAGAACCCCTTGCTGCGGGGGCCAGTTTAATTGGTCTGGCTTGTTTTATGAGACAGGTTTTATGTTTAAACTCGCACATGGCCCAGGAGCGACTCTGCAGCAGGGCATCATTCTCCTGCATGGGTCCTCCGGGAATGCAGCCCGGGTTAATTACACCTACCCGAGCAATCGCACCTCGCGCAGCAGCTGGCATAAGTCACGGCGTGAGCCGAGGGGTTCAGAAAATGCGGGTGGGAGGTGGTGCCAGAGCTAGGACTGCTCGCGATAACCATCCCCTGAGCCAGGCCTGGCTGGGGCTCGGTGCTGCCTGGAGGCACGGGGTGGTGGCTGTCTTGTCCCCTCTCACGTGTGCCTGGCTGGGATTGCTGCAGCCCTGCCTGGTAACCTCGTCCTCCCTCTGCGCCTCTGATCCCCCTGTAAATGGAAGTGGCGTCGCTGACCTTCACGGCAGGGGTTTAAGATACAAAAATCTTGTGCAAATACGAGCAGAGCGGTGGTGCTCTGGGTCGCTCCTGGTCAGCGTCTCCCCGCACGGTGCTCGGAGCCTGGCTTTTCTCACCGCGCTGAGGCTGTGCAGGCGTGCGGTGTGAGAGGAAAGCCTCTGGCTGTGGAGAAGGTGAGGAGGAGGCCAGTCCACTCCTAGTGTGACACAGCCACCTCCGGGGCCAGGCAGAATGACTCCTTACCCATCCACAGCCTTCTTCAAAGCTGTTTAGATAAGGACTGGGAAAGCGCTGAGCTGGCAGAGGTGGCTTAGAGCACAAGTAATTATTCAAGGTGGGTTTTGGTGCTGCTGGACCTGAGCAGGGCAGGAAGCTGCCTTCAAGCCATTTCCCCCTGTATCCCCTTAGCTCTGTCTTGCTCTGGTCATTTAATAGCAGCACTGCTGCTGCAGGCTTTCCTCATACATCTGAACACTGGCTCCCTCTCTGTAATTGCTTAAGGGTGGGGTTAAATGAAGGGGTGCAGCACCACCCCAATGCCCCTTTGCTTCTGACGGTTGCTCCTGGCTTTGTCACTGAACTCGCCATGTTGGCTTCTCTGCAGAAGAGCGTCGCTGAGGACATCCCGCTCCCTCTCCACATTGACCAGATTCTGCTCATCTTCCTCTGCAGAGCACCGAACAAGTTGCTTCTGTTGGTTGCTAGTTTGCTGCTGTTTTTTTCCCGTTGGTGGGACAAGGCTGCCTTTGGGGACTCCCTTTTCCATAACCCCTCAGACTGCGCTTTGAGCTTACAGGCCGTGGAGGAGGAGCCCTTCAGCCGAGGGGCTGCGGGTCCTGGGTCCGGTGCCCGCCGGGCAGGCACCCTGCGAGTCAGCCTGGGACCCGCAGAGGGTGCTGTGTCTCCATCGCCTCTCCCGGCTCCAGCTGTTTGGCACTTGCCCGTGCCTGTGTGCATGATGTTTGTAAGAGTTTGGGCATGTCCATTTGGTTCCCATCTCCAGTGCCACCCCCAGCATCCAGGCCAGGTTCTTCTGTCACTAGGGACATTCTTAATTCACAGGAAATCGGAGAGAGTTTAATTGTTTTCTCCTCTCTTTTTTTTTTTTTCTTTTTTTTTTTCCCATGCAGCTGAACAAAAGGTTCATCCTCAGTTTTCTCCATGCCCATGGGAAGCTGTTTACCAGGATTGGGTAAGTGTGCAGGATGTTTATTTTATTTTCCTACATTACAAGTCTTTTTGGAATTTAATATTGTTAGCAACTAAGCTGTGTTTGGAGCTGAGGGCACAGGGTGTGAATTCTTGCAGGCCTAGCCTCCTGGTTCTTATTCTCCTTACCCGCCCTCTGATCCACACTGGTTATTCTTTGATTCTTTGGGCTTTTTCTTCCCTCACCTCAATGCCCAGTCCTGCCCATGCACTGGGACCCTCTGGCCGAGGCTGAGCTTGGATGGCTGATACACAGGAGGGACTAGAGGCTGTATTCCCTCTCTCCATCACCTAACCGTGCTCCCTCCCCTTGAATTTCTGGTTTTATTCCCCCCCCTCTTCCATTCCCCCCAGCTCTAGGCAGTGGAGAGGTGGCTCTGGATGACTTGCAGTGGCTGCTGCCTGCAAGGAGCACAAAGCCATCGAGGCAGAGAACCGTACAGTGGCTGAAAGCTGCCATCCGGAGCATGTCAAGACAAGCCTTGCCCTTCATCTCCTTGCTGCCATGTCAGTGAAAGCCTCATAGCTGAGAGCTGCCCTGGCTGTGGGAACGGGTTTATACAAAGTGCCCTTGGCAATGTCTGTCAGAAACTGGTTTCAAGTAACTGAACAGCTACCCTTGAAGCAAAGCAAGCCTGATGCAGGCCTGGGCTGAGATCCCAGCTTCGAGGACATCCTTATGACCCAGAGAGCAAAGCTCAGCCTTGCAGCTGATGGGCTTCCCATGGAGCTCCCCCTGCTCGGGGCCTGGACTGGCCTTCGCTCTCGAGTGATGGGGTGGCTGTGTGGGGGCGGCTGTTGGAGAGAGACCTCGCGTGGGTCCAGAGAGTCTCTGGCAACAGTGGTCTCTGCTTGAGCCTGCCAGTACCTCGTAAGTAAATGGAGTCTCATGAGCTCTCTTGGCTCCTTCAGTCTCTCATGGAACTGCTGGTTATAAGATACAGGGCTGAGAGACCTTTTCCAGGCCACGTAGGTGAAGATAGTGTGGCTGCAAAGTGGCATCTTGTCCCTACTGTTGGTTTTTTTGACTCAGATGTACAGTTCCCTGCCTCTGGACCTGTACCCTTTCCCTCCTGGAGCGAGGAAGCACGGTGCAGGACACAGCACTGATCCTGCCATGCAGCCTGAAACTTAAGCGCTTGCTCCATCCAGCGTGCTTTCTAAGGTGACCAGTCAGGCGTGACATGTGCTTGGCTTTGGACCTTTCATAAAGCAGTGGGAAGTAGGAGCTCTGCTGGCCACTTTGCTGGAGATCCGAGTGTCTGAGGGCGAGGGAGAGAGCAATCTGCTTGCTGCTGGTGCTGTTGATCTCTCCCCGAGTCACAAGGCACTGATGATCTGCTTGTGGGCAGCAGGCTGGCCTGCAGTGAGGAGGCAGAACTGGATGTCCTCCTGCCTACAGGAAGAGAGGAGGAAAGCTGCGAGAGCCCATGAAAAGTTTGGTAACTGCAACGTGTCTGTGCCAGAGGGCAGAGCACCCAGGGAGCTGCTGGTCCTCAGCTCTGTGGGGCTGTGCTCGCAGCCGAGCTCTGGTTGAACACATGCCAGCAAGGGGATTAATGGGGATGTTGCAGAGATTGCTTGCACATTTGGCTCCTGAGACTTTTGTGAAATTAAGATGCAGCATTTGAGGCAGTTGCTTCCCAGGACAGTCATTTAGAAAACCCAAGTATGTTTAATGGTAGAATATCCCCTGAAGTACTTAGAAGGGAACTAGAAAGTAATACCATGACACAGGAAGAGAAAATCGTCCAGCCCTGCTAAACAGCTTCCGTGCTTAAAATAGGTAAAAGGTGAGGAATAGTTGAGTCCTCTTTGGGCAGGATTTTAAGTGATTTATCTGTAAAAAATACGGAAAAGATGATGTTGCCCTAATTGGACTCTTTTGCTCCTAAAACCACAGGTAAGCAATTTATTAAAAGCTTCCGCTCTGCTGCTGACCTGCTGGTTCTGAGCTCAGTGGGGTTGCTGCATGCCATTCCAGATGTGCTGCAGTATCAAAGCACAGCTGGCGGCGCTGAGGAAGCCCTCACTCCTCCTTGTTGTTATTCCATGGCAGTAATCTTCATCTCCTCTCCAACAGCCCATCCTGCAAAGGACTCCTCCATCCCCAGTGTCCTGTCTGCTCTAGGAGGATGTTGCTGGATATGCTGGATGTGGTCTGAGATTTCTCAAAATTAGGAAGTCTTTAGAAGCAATCAGTTTGCTCTAATTCCCTGGCTGTGCCCCAAATCCAGGAAAGTTGCCTCTTCCGGGGGGTGCAGTGCTTTTGTAGTGGCGGAGCTGCTCCGTTCTGCACAGCTACAAAGTACAAGGGGCCTGTTTGTTACAGCTCATGTTTGTGGGCAGGTAACAGACAACTGCTCCAGCAAACAGTGCCCGGGGAGGGGGTACCCCCACTGCTAGGCAGAACCAGTTGTTGAAGGGCATCTGTGAAATATGGTTAAGAAAGCAGCCATTTCAGTCTTTAAAAATAGAGCTTATTACTGGCCTTAAAGTCTGTTGGGGAAGCCCAGCAGAATTGCCCATGTGGGTTACCAGAAGTCGCTTGCTAATTCAGCCTGTAGCATGCTGATATCACAAGATCTCAATCTCTCGGGGGAAGATAGAGGAAATTGCTATGGAGGCCCCTGAGTTTGCCTGCCCCGGCTCCAGATGCCTCGCCCACTGCGGATTTTGGCTCCCTCGCTCCCATGTGGACATGCTGGTACAGTGTCCCTGATAACTGGAGTGGTCACTTGCTGTGAGACAGATGCTCATTCTTGCTGGGTCTGGCTGTGGCTTTTTGTAGTGTAGGATCAAGAAGTAACCCAGCTCAGCAGAAGAGGCAGTGGGACAGGAGGACCTGCCCTCTCAATAGTTTCCAAGGTTTTTTGGCAGCTTCTTGGTTATAAAGTTGTCTTCACGGGGTACCAGGTGAGGACTCTCTTTGGGAGAGCTGTTGTGGGCAACCAGTCATTTTTGTGAACTGGCTGTGCTCTTCTTTGCAGTCAGTTCAGTTTTTGACCCCATTTCAGCTGGGAGGTTGCTGAGGATCCAACAGCTCTTGATAAGTAACCTCAGCTAATTCCCTCAGCGATGCCAGATGAAGAGTGGGATAAACGTGTCAGATTTCCGTGGGTGCTTGTGAACGGTGTTGAAAGCACACCCCATCCCCAGCCGTGGCACTGCAGCCGCCGGCTGCTGTGTCCTGATGAGCGACAGCAGTGCTGTGTGCTGCAGGGACCAGCTCCAGCTTTGACATTTCCAGCAGCTAGACGAGACCAGTCGTTAGTCTGCGAGTCCCTGTCCTGTGGGGCTCTAAGTGATGAAGTTTAGGGGCTCAGTCACAGTGCTGGGGAGTGTGTAACCTGGGGGGACAGGGCTCGGTGCCATGGGATCTGATCCTGCCATGCGGAGCCTGGGGACAGGCACCATTCTTCTGGAGGAAGCATGCTCTGGCCAACGTTCAATGCACTGGAATTGCCACATCCGCAATGTGGCACCAGTGTGTGCAGCTTGCTGCAGCCTGGGTTTCTCGGGAGTCCCATGGGCTGCTCCTGGTCCAAGAGAGCTGCTGGCCTCTTGGCACCCTTCCCAGATTGGTAGAAGTCAGTAGAAAAAAATGGTTGGTCAGAAATGACTCATAAAGGCCGTGTTTTCCTGCCAAAGGAATGCTGCCTGTTGGTCACAGAGCGATCCCTCGCTAAGGAAGGCTTCAGCTGCCTCTGTCGCAGCCTGCACCTTCATTCCCTACGGCTCCTGGATGGGAGACAGCACCCCAGGGCGTCCCCCTTCCCCAGGAGACGTGACACTGAGCGAGCTGTGGACTGACCGCCCTGCACCCTGGGCATAGCCTGCGCTCTACAGACTCTCTCTCTGTCTGCAGGATGGAGACTTTCCCTGCGGTGGCCGAGGAGGTCCTGAGGGAGTTCCAGGTCCTGCTGCAGCACAGCCCCCCTCCCATCGGAAGCACCCGCATGCTCCAGCTTGTGGCCATCAACATGTTTGCAGTGTACAACTCCCAGCCCAAAGGTACCATGTGCTGCTTTAGGGGAACCAGGCTGAGGATCAGCCGCTCTTTGTATGGCCGAGTTGTTCATGTGGAGAAAGGGGAGGGCGGGGGACTCACCGGCTGAAGACTGATGGGGAAGTGAAGCGGTGGTTGGATGCCTGGGGGTGTCGGTGTGTGTAGAGACAGCAAAGGGACCTTGGCTGGGCCTCGGTGGAGCTGGCTGAGGTGTCTGAGGAGTGTGGAGGCATCGCATCTCCCTGGGGCCTGAGTCATCAAGCACAGAAGGCAGGCACTGCTTGATGGCTCTGCCTTCCCAGCGTTTCGCCTGGGCCCTGCTCAGTGCCTGTGCTGGCACCAGAGGGGCTGAGAGGATCTCAGAGACTTTGGCTGTTGGGAGAGTGGCTTTGCCTGTGACTGCTCGTGTCTGTGCAGGTGGCTGCGTGATGCGATGCTGCTCTCTGAAAGGCCAGGCTGGAGGCTGCACCCCATATTAAGGCACCTAGAGAGCAAAGCAGATCTGGTATTACTCATTCTCCTCTCCTAGCCTCCTCCATCCACCCAGGAGGCTGTATGTGGTCTCTACCATTGTCAAGTTTAATGTATTGGTCAGCAGAGATGCCACCAAACTATAGAGTCACTTCCGCTGAGTTTGAAATGGTGCTTCTAGGGAACGTGTTTTTCCCTGTGGCTCCCCAATATGTACCCGGTGTCAGGTACCAGGACTGCCTGAGCCCTGTGTTTGGGAGCAGGGATGGGGCTGCACTCCCTGGGTGGTAGTGAGCAGCATTTCACATGCCAATGGCTTGGGATTTACATCCCAAAGATGGAGGCCTCCAGCTGATGGATTTCAGTCAAAGCCACCACGTGGGTGATCAGGCTGAGCCCCAGAGAGCTGCTGGTGGAAGATTTCTCCCTCGTGAACCAGTTGGCCACCTGTCAGACTGGTGGTTAGTGGCCAGGGTCAGCTGATGGAGTGAACCAGCGTCGGCCGGAGGGCTGGGAAGCAGCTCCCGTGCGCCGTGCCTGCTGCCTGGCCAATCTTGTAGGCACCTTCCTCTCCCAGGGGAAGCACTGGGGGAGCTGTCAGCCCCACTGGCGAGGCAGCCTTGCCCCCCCTGCCTGTGAGATGCCAGCTAGTGACAGTGTGTTTATCTTTGAGCTGCAGAGTACTTTATGATTATGAGCAAATGCCTCTGCTCAGCCCCCCGGTAGGTATATTAATAGCAGTGTCCATGCCACAGACAGCAGTGGGTGGTAAAGAGAGGAAGAGATTTGTCTGGGCTATACAGCAAGCCCCTGTGGCAGAACTGGAAGCAATCCCAGCTCTTGGACCACTGGACTCTACTCTTCTATCTGTAGCTTGAGTTGTGGATGTACGTGAGTGACAGAAAGGCAGCGCTTTTTATCTCTTGTGAAAAATAAGTATTCTCGGAGTTTTCTGCCTCCTGTGTGAATAGCTGCCAGCTGCTCCCAGCTTTCAGATCTCTGGAGAAAGCAAACCTGTTCCTGCTGGGGACTGCAGGCTGTGCGCAGAGCAGGTGGCAGCGTGCATGAAATGCCTGCAGGTCGGATGGCACTACGGCTGCCATCTGATGCCTGGTGCCCTTCAGGGATTTCCCTGAGGGCTTCTTGCTCTGGTGACCCTAAAATATCGCTGAGAATATTGTTGGCAAAGCAAATCCTGTTGTCAGCACAAATGCCCTGGTGGTCTCCGAGCGCTTGTGTGCTGAGTGCTGGCACAGCACGGGTTGGGCTCGGTGCCGACACTGTGATACTGAGAAGAGCTGGGTGCAGAAGGAGGGAAAAGGCAAGCAAGAATGTTTGCTGAATTATTACCAAGTGCCCAGCACGGAGCGAGGGTGTTGGCTCCTTCCCCCGGTGTGTGGGTTGCTGTGGGCAGAGGGCTGGCTGGAGCATACGGCAGGAACGGCTGTCGGGAAGGTGCGGGTTTCCATTTCCCAGCACATGAGTCACCTCCCTGGGTTGCAGTAGCATGGGCAGCGGCGGGAGCGGGGGCAAGGAGACCGATCCACCCCTGCGGGTGGGTGGGAGGCTGGGAGGGCTCAGGGAGCGGTCCCACCCTGCCTGCATCCCAGTTGCCAGGAAGCATTACTGGGGAGCTGCGAGCCCGGCTCGCCGTAGTGAGAGCTTGGCTGCGTCAGTTCTGTAGAGCTGGATCTAACTTTGCAGTTGGACCGAATGACCTCTAGAGATCTCCTCCTACTGAAATCCTTCTGCGAATCTGGGATCAGAGCGTGTCTGTGTCCTTCCCATCGCAAGGGCCTGTCAGACCTTCAGCTGGAGCTCTCAGTAGCAGGAGATCTGTGGGTTGGGGGCTGGGGAGGGAGGTCGGTCTGTCTGAGAGCCTCTGTTCCTTGTTGTCCCGGGATAGTTCTCGCTGGGGATTGCTGCTCCCTCCCTCTCCCGCCATGTATTTCCAGGTCTCAAGAGCCCCAGCTACTCCTGAGAAACTTGTAAACTCGCTTGCTTGCCCTGTGTCTGGTGTCTAATGAATCCCTCGTGCTGGGATCCAGTGGTGCTAGCAGTTGTGGGGCGGCGTCGCCAGCAAAACAGTCTCGATGTGGGGAACTTTTACAAAATTTTATGCCCATAAACACAAACTTTTAATCACATATTCAGGTATTAAGAAAAAGGAGACTTGAACTATCAAATGCTTTAATAAACACCTTTCCTCTCTCTTCCTCCAGCTTACACCAAAGACCTATCCTGCCCCATCTGAGTCTCAGCTTCCCCTGTTTTCGTGCCAGATTATGCTTGGTCTGTCCCAATTCCTTCGGAGGCAGCAGGCACTGCAGGAGGTTGAGGACTCATGCTTAATGGTTTATATCTGCCACTCTTTCCTTTTTACTTGTTTTCTTTTGCTGTGGTGTGGGTTGGCCGTGGTCTCTCAGGGCTGTCCCTGCCCTGGCGTGGGTCCGTGTATGGCAGTTGTGATGTGTCCTCCTGCACACCTCTGGCTCCTAGCAGCTGCCACCCTTTCATAAATCAGTCTGTGTGAGGTCACCATGTGCTTTTCTGACAAGTTGACTTTTTGGGGTGCAGTGGGGTGTTTAAACTGGTTTCAGAGCCAGCCAGCTGCGAGCGACATGTGGTGTTTCACAGCCTCCTCCCACGCAGGTCGCTGATGCAGCCTCCAGCTACCTGGACCCTGCAGCGTGTGCCCAAGGCAGGGCTTGGCTGTGTGCAGGCAGAGCCACACGGTCTGTGCCCAGTGCAGGCAGCTGAGCCTGTGCTTGTCCCCCAGGGGCAGCACCAGGCATGCCAGAGCTGGTCTCAGCTGCCTGTGCAGCCAGGCAGCACTGGGAAGACCCTGGGAGATGGATTGGGTCTGTTGTTTTCTCTGACAGAAGAAGCCAAAGAATTCCCACATGAAGTGCTTCCCCCGCTGTTCGGCATCAAACGGCGTATTGCTCTGAGTGAGCCGCTCTCCCCGTTGTCCAGGGAGGTGTGCAGCCAGCAAGGATTCCTCCAGGGAGGTGTGCAGCCACCAAGGATCCCTCTGACCTCCTGACTGCCTCCTGGCAGGAGCATTCAAGGTGTGAGAAAGCTTTTTGTAGACCTCAAACCTGTGGGGCAAGGAGGGCCCACTCAGGGGAGGGAGGCAGAGAGAGATGGGCATCTACGTGGCAGACACATGCAGTTGCTGGAGCTTCCCATGATGGAATGTAGGTGACTACCAATGTTTTGGGCCATCCTGAGCTCTGGCTGGGGTGGGACCTTTGTGGGGTGGCCCATTTAACAGTTTGGTAGCCATCTGCGCAACCAACTTACAGAGAAGCTTGGATCCCTTTATCCCAACCACAAACACTCCAAGAATTTTAATTTTTTTTTAATTCTGTAATTTGGGGAAATAAAACTCTGGTTTCTGAAAAGACTAATTGAAGCCGTGCTTGCGGCAGGGGCATCTCGGTGAGGGGAGAGAGAGAAACCCCCTCCCAGCCCATCTGTGCCCAATTTACTCCGATCTGGCCTCTCTGAGGCTTTTTTTCTTTCTCTCTCTCTCTTTAATAATTTGTTTTATAATTCCTGGAATCAAACCCATCTCAGACACACTGTTTTATTTTACTGTATTATTGGATTATACTTCCTATAAATCACTGGATGTTATTCATAGGCCACCACCAGAATAACTTCCCTTCTCCCCCCCCGACGGCCCCGCATTCCAAACAAGCGCGCACCAAAGTGGGGGTGCAGCAGCGCGGGGCACCCTAGAGACACTTCCCGGAAATCCCAGCAAATTTGCCTGGCTGCGGGTGTGAAGCATCAGGCTGCAGCACCTGGATGCCTTCTGGCACTCTCGGGCCGGTTGCATTGTGCCGTGTGGAGGTTGTTAGGAGGTCGGGCTTAGGTGGAAGTGGAGAGGGGAGGGGGCTGCCATATGTGCATCCTCAGCACATGTAGGGAATGAAGTTGCATCCCCCGGGGCCGAGCAGAGTCAGGGCATAGAGGCACGGGGAGGTTCTAGCCAAGCACAGCTTTAGCTGAGGATTGGGAAAGTGGCTTGTGTTTCAACCAGAGGAAAGTTCGGGCAGGGCAGGGTGACCAGCCTGTAGGGCATCTGCTCTGCCGAGGCCGATGGGTGAGGAGGAAGGCCTGCTGCTTGCGCTTGAGCAGTGGGACTGCTGCTTGTGTGGAACTGGAAGAGGGTTCAGGAGGGCAGCCAATGTGGCAGGGTCAGGCTGGGCTTTGGTTCACAACCCTCCCGGCTCTGTCTTCTCAAGTGGATCATGGTCGGGTTTTCTGTGCGAGAGACACTTGGCTGGGAAACCTTGAGGGCTTGTGCAGAAAGGAAGGATTCACATCCCGCTCCCTGCAGCACGTTCAGAGCAGCATCTGTCCCCTTCACGCTGCCACACTGGTGTCCTCAGAGCAGCGTAGAGGAGGTCAATACTGCACAGGCCCCTGGGTGTAAAGGTGCTGTGCCTGGCTCACAGAGAACTGCTCTTCCGCAGTGAGTGCTGCTAACTACAGCCCTTGCAAGGGTTTGCTAATGTGCACA